AGTCTGAGACCAGCCTGAACAGCATAGCAAAACCTTGTCTCTACAAAAAAAAAAAAAGTCAAGAAACTAGCTGGGCATGGTGGCGCATGCCTGTAGTCCTGCTACTCGGGCAGCTGAAGCAGAAGGATCACCTGAACTGAACCCTGGAGATCAAAACTGTGGTGAGCCGTGATCATGCCACTGCACTCCAGTCTGGGTGACAGAGTGAGACCTTTACTCAAAAAATAAAAAAATTGAGATGGATTCTTGCTATGTTGCCCAAGCTGAACTCAAACTCCTGGGCTCCAATGATCCTTCTTGCCTCAGCCTCCTGAATAGCTGGGATTACATGTGTGACCCACCATGCCCAGCTATTTATGTTATCTTGTTTCCTCTTCACAACAACTTTATGAAATCATTTTATTATCCCCACTCTACAGAGGTAAAAACTGAGGCTTACTGAGACAAAGTCACATGCCCAAGGACACACAGCCACACACATGGCTGGGATTACAGCTAAGATCTGCTGAGCCCCAAAACTAGCACTGCACAACCAAGTACACAGTAGGTGTTCAATACATGTAGGCTATGTGGTTGGGGAAGCTGGTGTCTCCAGGGTCTTCATATAAAGTGGTAGAAACCAAAGAGAGAAACTGCATGGTGACACAGGAACACCTAATCCCTCCGTGAGGAGATTCAGCACTAGGTCTGAAGGGAGGTGGGGTCAGAAGCAGGCAGAGGGGTGAGTGAATGTGACTCCTGGTCCCACTCGTGTGGATCCCACTTACCATAGAGCAGGTAGTCATGAGCCACAGAGGTGGGATGGGTCTGTGGGGTAAGAGGAGCAAGGGTCCCACAGACCCCACTATGGGCAGTTCTATCCAGGGCATCTGAGGCTTTCTGTGGGGGTAGGGAGGGAGGTCAAGGCTTTAGGTCTACACCTGCCTTGACTGGGTTAGAGAGAGATGGTGGGCTGGACCATGATGGTCCTGAGGTGGGCCAACCTCACTCTATGAAAATTCCTGGAGGAGTGAAGGGGACTGTGCCTACCAGGGCCCAGCTGACTTTTTTTTTTCTTTTTCGAGTTGAGTCTCTGTCGCCCAGACTGGAGTGCAGTGGCCACTCCCGGCCACCGCCACCTCGACCCGCTGGGCTCCAGCGATCCTTCCCCCTCAGCCTTCCAAGTAGCTGGAACTACAGGCGCACGCTACCACGCCTGGCTAATTTTTGATTTATTGTAGAGATGAGGTCTCACCAAGTTGCCCAGGCAGGGCTTGAACCTACAGGCTCAGGCAATCCACTCACCTCAGCCTCCCAAGGCGCGGGATTACAGGCTGAGCCACCGAGCCCGGCTTACTTTTTTTTTTTTTTTTTCAAGTCAGGGTCTCACTCTGTCACCCAGGCTGGAGTGCAGTGGCACAATCACGGCTCACTGCAGCTTCGACCTGGACTCAGACGATCCTTTCACCTCATCTTCTGGGATTACAGGTGTGCACCACTCCCTAATTGATTGATTTTTTTTTTTGTAGAGACGGGATCTTGCTATGTCGCCCAGGCTAGTCTCAGACTCCTGCGTTTAAGCAATCCTCCCACTTCAGTCTTCCAAAGTGCTGGGATTAAAGGCATGAGCCACTGCGCCAGTCCCAGCTGACTCTCACAGAGTGAGATTGACACTGGATGTCTCCAATGGCTAAGAGAGCTGATAGCCAGGGAGAGGACTGACACAAACATGAGAGAGGGGTGGGGGCAAGTTAGGTCACGCCCCTCTCCCAGGGGCCCCGCCCCAGCACAACTCAGCACTATCTGGAGACCCTCAGGCCTCAGTATGGGTGGCTCAAAGAGTCAAATCAGACTCCATGCCCCCCAAGTTGGGGACGGAGAGAGGGATGCTGAAAGCGAATCTTGATAATAACAATAGCACATATTCATATGGCTGTTCTGCATATATTAACCCAATTAAAACAAAAAGTCCTGTGAAAGTCAGTGCAATGGCGCATGCCTGGAGTCCCAGCTGCTAGGGAGACTAAGGGGCAAGGAAGGCTTGAACCCAGGAGTTGGAGTTTGCCTGGATCCAAGGCATTCATAGGTGGTGGTGAGGCTGCGGATCACGCATGGGTTGAGTGTCCAGAAGATCATTTTTTCAAGATGAAGTCAGGAGGCAAAACCTCAGAAGGGGGACCTCACAGGTACTAACAAGGGAGTCCCGCTGCTGTGATCACATCCACAACCTAGGCATTTCCTCTTTCCAACTGCCCAATTCTGACAGCCAGGGGGATGGAAGCAAGCTGCACCCTCTGAATGTCCCCATGCCCTGAGGTAGGGAGATTATCAAGAGATCACGAGCTGGCTGCACACAGGAGATGAGAGGCACACATCTGGGGACCCAGACCCTATATAGGTCTTTCACACTCAGCTGTACTTATGAGAGGTACCCTGGGGATCCCACACACAACCACACACAGAGATATACATGTGGCACTATGAACATAGTCACAGCCCCCACAATGGTTGTGTGTATATTCATATGCAGAGAGGAATAGAGACACACCATTGTCACAAACACAGAAACAGACCCACACGAGGATGGCTAGACACAGTCACAGAATTACTGATAATAAGGTGCAATCACACACATACAGTGCTGTTTTCTGTTACTGACACACCAATGGTGGGAGACAACCATAGCCATCTAAGTCACGGACATCCAGGGTGTTAAAAACGCACATCAATGGTTGGACATGAACACACACACGAAGTCTCACAACACCACAGACTGTCTCAGATTTGGCACAGTCTGACCCATTATATCATTGCTGGCACACAGAGTCACACACAGAGACATACAGGGTGTTGTCATAAACATAGTTGTGCACACATGGATTCAGCAACTCATACAGCCACAGACCATACTGATAGACACACAGTCACCCACAAGAGACAGATATGGTGTGTAGCTCACAGTCACATGAGTTTCAGTGGTGGGACACAAACATTCATCCACAAGTCTGTGACTTGTGGGGTGTCACAAACACATTTGATCCACTGGTGTTCAGATAGAATCACACACACATTGGAGCATCGGAACAATCACGGAAATGCTGACACAGACACTGCCAGCCCCTCAGGGGCTGAAAAATTCTACTCCCCTGATGGTCACAGACATGTAGAAGCTGGTACAATTACAGGTGCAAACGCAGCTACTGGTATGTAGATACACAAGAATTCACACACACCCTGACACATTGTCACATAAACCAATGCCCAGAATGGTCCACACTGACACACACAGGGACCATCCCTGACCCACACTCACACAGCCACAAGAACACTTACAGACCTTTTCTAGAGCTTTGAGACACTGCAAAAACACATTTAAAAAACCACACATTCTATCATCCCAACACACACACACGCTCGCACGTACTTCATGGCTTCAGGACACAATCATGAACACACATCCAACTCCACAGGACCCTCGGCCTTCTGTGGGGATGGCCCAAGGAGTCAAACCAGACTCCGTGTCCTCCCAGTTGGGGAAGGAGAGAAGGGTGCTGAGACAGAATCCTTATAATACCTATGGCACATTCTTATATGGCTGTCTTACATATATTAACTCAAGCAAACCTCAAAAAATCCTATGAAAGTCATTTTGGTGTCATGAGCCTATAGTTCAAACTATTTGGGAAGCTAAGATGAAAGGAAGGCATTAAGTCCAGGAGTTGGAGGCTAGTCTAGGCAAGACCCCCATATCTTTAAAAAAAAAAAATTTAGCCAGGCACAGTGGCTCAAGCCTGTAATCCCAGCACTTTGGGAGGTTGAGGTGAGAGGGATTGCCTGAGGCCATGGGTTTGAGGCCAGCCGGAGCCACATGTTGGGACCTCATTTCTACAATAAATACAAAAATTAGCTGGGTGTGGTGGTGCATGCCTGTAGTTCCAGCTATTGAAAGGCTGAGGTGGAAGGATTGCCTGAGCCCCGTGGGTGACAGAGTGAGACTCCAACACACACAAAAAAACAAAATCCTGCTGGGAGTGGTGGCTCCCATCACTTTGGGAGGCTGAGGAGAGAGGACTGCCTGAGCCCAGGATTCGAGACTAGCCTAGGTAACTTGGTGAAACCTTGTCTCTACAATAAACCAAAAAATTAGCCAGGCATGGTGGCATGTGCCTGTAGTTCCAGCTACTTGGAAGGTTGAGGTGAAAGGATCGCCTGAGCCCAGCAGGTCAAGGCCACGGTGGCCATGAGTGGAAGGCAATCCTTCCACCTCAGCCTTCCAACTCCAGCCTGGATGACAGAGTGAGACTCTGACTCAAAAAAAAAAAAAAAAAAAA